CCCCAAAACCCCAAAACCCCAAAACCCCTCTGGAAATGTAAATATTTAAAAATAAAAAAATCTTAAAATATGCCAGCAAAACCACACAGCTAGAATTAAAAAGAATCGATCATTCAGAAAGTACTTGGATTCATAAAAAGGCTTGGCTTCTACGGAAGGAATATTATGCTCATCTACAAATGAGGTGACAAGTATAGAACTCATATTGGTGGAGTAGGGGTCTCTCCCTCTAGCATCTGTCATTGTGGGTACAATTGTGTTGACTTACGTAATTCTGTCCATAAAAGTGATGTTTAAGAAAGGGGATACTTTCTATGTCAAGTAATCTTTGATCAATGATATCTTTACATCTTCCTATATTCATTACCCTGCTAGGAATAATTATGAACTTGATACTGGAAGGAATCAGTTTGATTTTACCTTTGAGTTTTAAGTCAATAGAGTTGACCACTTAGGAAGTTCTCCTGATTTTAGCTTTGAAATCAATCTTGTTGAACAGGAATGGGTTAAAGAGAATGGAGACTCTACAACTAAGAGAAATTACACATCTATACAGTTCGAGGAATGAGAAGGAACAAATTCACGTTATACCATTTAAATGAAATAAAAAACTCTAAATTGATGACTATCATTGTAAAATCCAAGATAATTTCTCTGTAGCAGGAAGCTTCTTTTCGCATATATATCATTATATTGAAATAAAATAGAAACGTTGCATTAATGTGATTACCACTTGTTCATCAAATTAGACTACTTTAGAAACATTAATTAAAAATTCAAGATTCTCTCTTGCTATTGTGAACACTGTTGTTGACATCAAAAATTACAAGGTTCCTTTACAATATGTTAAACCCTATGAAGGTATCTATAATTTGACCGTACAAATAAAAAGCTAAAATTAACAATTTAAAGGGTTAATAAAGAGCAAGGAATCCAGGAGATCCTATTTTAAAATTAAATATTATTCTTCGTTCTAGTATGTTGAGTCGCTTAGTGGAAACCAATGCAATTTTCAGAAAATGTTAACACAAGCCTCCAGATTTGGAAAGCACTAGGAATGCTAATACTAGTCTGGAACAATTCCTTGGCTGTTCAAAAGTTAATGTCTGATGTCTTCTTAAAGAGATCATTATGGTTTGCTAATTAAGCTAAGCGGCTGTATTGGTGATAGGTTATACTGGGGCCTCACTCCCAATACAAGGGAAAGACTTATATATTTGTTAGGAAGGATGAGGTATTTTTCATGATTATTACATTTAACTTGGCTACCCTGATGAACGGAAGTTTTATCAAGTTGTAGATCTAAGGAAAGATATGAAGCAGAGTCTTCGAGTGGTGATGTTCTTTCGATATATTTGAGGTATTCTAAAGTCGGTGATGCTTGTGAAACAAGGATTTACTCTATTGGTGATCTCCTATGTCAAGCAGCCGGATTTTAAGGATCGTTTATAGCAATAGGATCTATTTTCTTACTCATATTCTTTGAAAGGCTATTTGTAGCTTCGATTCTAAGAAAGATATAACAAATTGACACATGACAGGAAAGAGAAAGACTTGATCCCATGTGAGGAATAACCACAAGGATCACCAGAATAATCGGAGTTCAATCTTTCGAGCAGATGGGAGAAGGGTTAAAGAGTAGTATACCGAAAGAAAGAGATTCTATGAAGAGAGTCTGCATGATATTAAAAATTTAATGAGATGAAGGCAGAGAATAGGTCAAAATGTGCACAGTCGGATATCTTAAATAAGTGTGAGAGTACCATGAGGGATAAGAAGGTTCTTCGATGTAGGTACTTCGACATTTTCAACTTCATCTTTTGTTAAGTTATATACAGTCGAAAGAAATCGATGAGGTTAAGCCTGAATTTGGAGGTTATCTATATTTGAGATAAGACAAGATAAATTTTTGGATGAGCTACCCTTTTTAGTGTAGATTATGAAACTATCTTAAAATCTGTGAGGCAGCTGAAGCTGCTGACTCTTGTCCTCTTTAACCGCAACAAAAAATTTATGATGAAGTTTGCAGAGGAATAATATGATTGACTCATCCTCTTCTGAAGCTTCTGATGAAGGACAGATGAAGGTTGTCAGTCTGATATAAAACAATAAAACCGTTCTATTTTCAAAATTAGTAGATAAGGAAATCAATAGAGCAATCGTCAGCTATAAAGGTAAAAAGCTTTTGGGAGAACCAAAGAGAGGTTTTCGGATTCAGATATTAATGAAGAATCTGATGCTTTCTGTAACATTGGATCAGAGATGCTGAATCAAGGTAAAAGTGCATTTTATTTATAGACTCTAAGGTGCAAGAATCTGCCAAAAAGAGGTAATATACTCGATCCTCTTTGATAGTAAAGAATGATTCATCAAGAAAAATTCTGTACATATGCCCAGTTCTTTGACAAAGAAGATGATGCTAAGAGCTTCCAAAATTCCAATTCAGTTGATAACAAGCTGTCCACTTCGCTTAACTTTATCCACTCTATAATTGAAGAACTGCTAAGAAAATGAAAAGAGCAAGAATCTATCACCAAATTCTTAACCCTAATCCCTAATCTTTCAATTATCATTGCTATCTTTGGGGTTTTGGGGTTTTGGGGTTTTGGGG